TTGCAAAAATATTTGAGTGTATACTTTCTAATACTATTAACTTTCATGTAAGTAGCCAAATAAGTCATGATCAACTTGGTTTCATTAGAGGAAAATCAACTGTTACCAACCTAGTTGAATTTACGCAATTTGCCTCTCAGGTCTTAGATGATAGAAAGCAAGTAGACGTAATATACACTGACGTTACAAAAGCATTCGACAAAGTTAACCAGTGTATATTACTCCAAAAACCTGGTAATTTTGGTCTGTGCAATAGTTTAGTTCAGTTATTGAAATCAATGATTATGAATAGGCGTCAATTTGTTGAGTATAATGGATTTATGTCTAAAGAATTTTATTGTAAAAGCGGTGTAGCTCAAGGGTCCAACCTTGGTCCGTTGCTTTTCATACTTTTTTTGAATGACATATCTAACCATATTGATTGTAAAATTTACATATATGCGGATGATCTGAAGATTGTAAATGTTATAGCCTCGTATTCTGACTGTCTTCAATTACAAGATAGTATTAATTCATTCTTAAATTATTGTTAAATTAATTGCCTTAATGTAAATTTACCTGAATGTAAAGTTATGACAATAACTAGGAAATTGCAACCCATTAATTGTATGTACAACATGAATGGTACGCTTTTAGATCGTTGTGATCAGTTTAAAGACCTGGGGATTGTAGTAGATAACAAATTGTCGTTTATACCGCATATCGAATATGTTACAAACAGTGCAATGAAGATGTTAGGATTTATAGTTCGTAATGCAACAGATTTACATAATGTACATTGTATAAAGTTATTGTTTTACACCTTAGTCAGAGCAAAGCTAGAATACTGTAGTGTAGTATGGAACCCAACGCATAATATTTATATCTTTCTTGTTGAAAATGTAGTGAGAAAATTTTGTAAATACGTATTTTTCAAAATGTTTGGCAGATACCTTGCACCACACTGTGACCAAAAAATTCTTTTGAACACAGTTAATGAAACATCACTTTTGAGTAGAAGAAATTTGGCTTGTCTTACATTTTTACAAAAAATTATTGATGGTTCAGTGCATAGTGATACATTACTTAGCCAAATAAATTTCATTGCACCTAGGAGTATAAGCCGAATGCCACAGACGTTTCATTATGTAATTCCGAATAGTTACCACCACTACAATTCTCCTTTATTAAATTGTTTTAAACTATGCAATTGTTTGAGTGATAAGTTCGATATTTTCTGCGACAAATTACATAATAATAATAATAATAAGTTTATTAAAGCTAATACATTACAAATGTTTACTCAAGTCACACACTTAGATACTAATAATAATTAAACTAATTCAAAATATATCTCAATAAAATCAAATTTGTTTAAGTTGAGAAACAACAGAAAATTCATCAAGGTTAAAGAATGCCTTTCTCGCCAGAAATAATTTAATTCTTTTTTTGAAAACCTCTTTCCTCAAGCATTTTATAAAAGGTGGAAGAGCGTTATAAAATTTAACAGCAAAATAGTCTGATCCTCTTGACTTATTTATACGCGTAAAGTTAGGGAGAAAGAGATCACAAGATCTTGTCATGTACATATGATCGGCAGTGTTAAATTCTGAAATATGAGAATGAATATACATTAAACAATGAAGTATATGTATAAACGGAAGGGACGGTAAGGATCTTTAAATCTTTAAATACATGTCGACATTCTTGTCTATATCCCAGACCAGCTATGACACGTATACATTTCCTTTGAAATGAAAAGATTCTTGCAGCATGAGGAGAATGACCCCACAGAAGAATACCATAAGAAATTAGGCTACCAGCACAAGAATGATACACAGTCAACAATGTTTCAAGTGCAACAACACCATGCATTTGTCTGAGAACAAAGAGATTTTTGGCAATTCTATCTAGAATATAGTCCACATGAAAATTCCAACACAACGTTGTGTCTAACACAATACCTAGCAACTTAATACTCTTTTTTTGCAATCTAATGTCCTAAGAGAGCAAATCAAATTTTGGCTTTTATCTTTATTAATCAATAATTTGTTACTTAATGACCATCGAGTGAAATATTCATTAGAAATATTATCATTATTACTTAGCTTTGCAATATCATCACTGGTATTAGTAATTGTAGTATCATCTGCAAAGAGAGTTATTTTGCCAGTTGGTGCAGGTTGTGGCAAGTCATTAATATATATAAGGAAAAGTATGGGACCCAGTACTGATCCTTGTGGGACACCTTTCTTAATATACGTTGTCTCTGATTTGTCACCATTAACATAAACAAACTGACATCTAGAACGGAGGTAGGATTCAAGGAAAGTTACGGAATTTTGATCAATAGAAAGCCATTTTAACTTTGTGCATAAAATGTTGTGATCGACACGATCAAAAGCTTTAGAAAGGTCAAAACAACTAACAGAAGCATATTCTTTGGATTCAAATGTAGCTAATATAATGTCACAGATTGTCTTAACAGCAAGAGTTGTTGAAAGATTATGTCTAAAACCGAATTGGGTTGGATGAATTAATTGGTTACTTTTTAAATAGTCAACTAATTGGTTTTTCATACAAACTTCCAGAATTTTGCCTAAAACTGGAACAAGAGAAATAGGACGGTAATTACCAACGTCAAATATGTTGCCCTTTTTATGAAGCGGAATAACTTTAGATATTTTAAGAGCATCGGGAAATATGTTGTGCATTAACCATTTATTAATAAGTTTAGTGAGCGGAGATATCAACACATTTATTGTAGACTTTACAATATAGGAAGATATATTATAGGCACCTACACTTTTTGTGCGCTTCATGTTATTAATTATATTTCTAATATCAATTTGGGAAATCTGACAAAATGTGAAATGCTGATCCCCTCGCAAATTTGGCTTGAAGTCATTGTAACTAACACTATTAATAAGTCCTAAATCATTGTCATTTATAACATTCAAGAAGTAATTATTAAAATCATTAGAAGATAATTCAGAAGGAATATCATGTTTTTTGAGTTGTTTTTATATGAGTTTATCACATCCCAGGAGGCTTTTTGTTTATTGTTTGACTTAGAAATGTAATTGTCGTAGGCTCTCTTTTTTGATTCAATAGCTTTACGGTAAATATTTCCAAATTTATTGAACTGTTTTCGGGTAATCAGGTTTCTGCTTACTAAGTTACCATAAAATATTAATTGTTCACGCATTTTTTTAAGTGTCTCATTAAACCAAAATATTTTATCCTTAGGAGAACGGATCTTTTTATGTTTGATTGGTAAATAGACATCAATGGCAGATGACAACACAAGCAAAAATTTATTCCACAAGTCATTCAAGTCGAGGGAAGTATCTTCTAAAAAGGACCACGACAGATTTTCCAAATAATTATACAAGTTAAACATACCAATAAACGTATGAGGTCTGTAGAAGATACTCTGATTTACATATATAGAATCATTTGTTGTATATAAAGTCATACAAATCCCTTTGTGATCAGACAAAAAAGGTTCATGTACTACAGTTGCGTACTTATCATTTTCAATATTCGTGAAAATGTTATCAAGACATGCATTTACTCGCGTAATCTCAAACACAGTTTGTTTAAGACCAAATGAGCGTAATAAATGTAGAAGAGCACATGTATCATTCTCTTGTAAACGAAAGTCTGTGTTGAAATCACCAGTTACAACAGTGTGTGAAGCACTGTTTCTCCCCATTATGCTATTTAGTAGAGAATCTAAGTTTGAAAGGAAAACATCAAAGTCACCATTAGGCGATCTATAGACAGAAACTATAATGAGATTCTTGGGGCTTATTCCAACAAATTCACAATGAACTTCGTGACAGAATTTAGTACAGTTTAAAATCTTAAAACGAGTAATACTTCTATGTAGAAGAATACAAACTCCACCATGAATATGACGTAAACGACAAAAACTTGTAACAATCTCATACTGTTCCAATTTTAATGAATGAATTTCAGTGGAATTCAGCCAATGTTCATTTAAGCAAATTATTTCAAGAGGTTCTGAACATTTCAAAAATGCCTCTAACTCATGGATCTTATTACTAAGGCACTGAATATTTATATTGTAAATATTAATAATTGACTGATTTAAATCATTCCCTGACGATGACCTATTCAATTGCTTGATGTTACCTGAACAACTTGAGGAGTTAACTGAAAACCCCGACTATTTTTAAAATCAAAGTTAAACCTTCTTACGACTACTTCTTTTGGCCAAAAAGTCGCGACCATTAGCCGTTTCTTCAATTCAAATTTAATTCCAATGTAAAATGATTGATTTTGACCCTTATACGAAATATTCTCGATGGAGATATTGATATCTTCATCTTGATATCGATTTACAATATAATTTTGGACATCATCGGAGGTAGCAGACTTCTTGACGTTGCCTACATAAATCCAAGCCTTTTTTGTTTTTAAAGATGCCGAGAAGTTGGCAGTTTCCTCAATTTGTGCTGTTCCGGTTATGACTTCAACCTTTCTTTTTTTCTAAACTCTGTTATTTTCGATAAACTTCAGTTCCGTTTTCTTGAAACTGGAGCAGTCCAAATGGGTGATATAACCACATTCACCACCACACATAAATGATTTGCTTTCATCTTCAATTAATTCGTAACACTCAGAACAACATGATTCCGTGTCTTTCATGTTGCACGGTTCAGTTAAACTTGAAATATAGAATTAAATAATAGAAGTAAAGTAAAAAAAATAATTATATTGCATTATAGACAATAAAATGTATGTCAACTGTCTGGTCTTGTAGTACGAATGGCTTAATTAATCTTGTATAGGAATACCGATTGTTAATTATTTATGGTGTTTTGTTTATTTTTCTCTAGTTTATATATTCATTTTTTACTATTAATTTTTTATTATGTATGTAAATGTAGTACCACTCTGTCAGTATATGTTCCTATATGGACAATTGTCTGTTGGAAAATAAATTACTAAATTATTAAATTATTTAATTGCAGAAACAGTAAAGAAAACATAGTACATAGAATAAAATACCTATATATAAAGGAAGTGTAGCTAAAGAAAAAGAAAACTCTTAATAAATTGATTAGGTATTACGAATTCAAGAAAACGATAAGCATTATTAAGTCAAAAGAATTACCAATCAAACATTACATGAAATACAAAATTACCCATCAAAAAGCTCAGCAACTGGTACTTTCTCCAAAAAGCCATCGAACATAGCGCCAAAGAAAGGTGTATACATCTGTAGCATGTGCTGAAATCCCGCAAATATTTCAGACCACTTTTCGGTCATCGCTGAATTAAATTCACGATTCAAACGTTCACTGGGGAAGAGCTTTTTAAAATCAAATGTAACATCTCGTGTTTGTATATCAATTCCAGTACCAACCACTCTGAAATAGGTACCATCTCTTTCGTACTCTTGCAAGTCGAATTTCAAGGTAAATACAGGTTCAACTAAAACTTAATACTTTAGAAAACAATTTCGACTTTTTGTACAAAACACACCCAAAACTACCTCAACCGATGTTACGACGTTTAAAGGCAGAAGAACCACAGTACCTTCAGCTTTCCATTCAGAGGACCACGTGATTTCAGAATACGTAGCCTCTATTGTTAAAGTACTAGTTACCGGGCCAAAGTCCATTCTGCATTACAAACGTGTAAAAAATTGTTGCTCAAGTTTAAAAGTGGTACCTTGCCGCTACATCCTGTGGGTTTGACAAACCAGTAAACCTCAGATTGCTAGATTTTTGTTTTAAACCGTAAGTACTATTTCCAAATTCGGCAACCACATCGGGTGGAAACACAACATCGTACAAACTCGGTAAACCATGGGATTTTAGTGGTTTTTCTAACGACGTAATAGCACCATGGATAGCTTTACTTAAACACTGGTTGAAATCAGTTCGTCTTCTGTCACATTTTTGGAAACTAGAAGCTGCACAATTCATTAAATTGGTGTCAATGTTTAGAGAAGTTACTTACGAAGCTGCAGACAACTAGAAATGGTTGCTAAGGTGACTACACAAAGTGTTAAACTGTTCATTCTTAGCGCAGTTCAGTAAATGAATGTCCAGTAGTTGAATGTTCAAGCATTTATAAAGAGGACGGAACCACCTTATTGGAACATAATTTTAAAAATAGCATAAACTTCTCATTAAATAAGTTGTTATGTAAATACTTTGTTATGTTATCTAGATAAACACAAATAAAACTAATATAGGAACTTGTTTTTTATTTTTAAGCTACAAATAATGCAGCTTTAAAAATGTTAAATAAACACATAAACCCCTAATTATCGAAAAGTTCAGCAACGGGAACTTTTTTCAGAAAAGCGTTAAAGATTGTCGCAAACCGTGGGGCAAAAATCGCTTCAAAATTCTTAAAAAGTACAAAAACTGACTGCCATTTTGTACTCATAGCACAATTGAATTCTTCGTTCAGAATTTCGTTGGAAAATAGTTGTTTGTAGTCAAATTTAATACCCTGCATTTGTATATCTACTTTCGAATCGACCACACTAAAAAAAGTAGTACCTTTGTCGTACTCTGCCAGTTCAAAACTCAACGTAAGCGTTGGATCAACTACAAAACCGTATTTAGAGTAATTATAGTGTGCACGTGTACAGAGTACATACCTAAAATGTCCTCGACAGATGTTATGACATTTACGGGTAGAAGAACAATAGTACCTTGAGCCTCAAGTTCAGCTTCTAGCGTAAGTTGTGAGTAAGTAGCCTCTATTGTCAAAGTACTAGTCAAAGGACCAAAATCTAATCTGCGTAAGAAAATAAATAAAAGGTAAAACCTTCATTGAAAATAATACTTTGCGTTTATATTCTCCGGTTTCGACAGACCAATAAACCTAATTTGATCATATTTCTGTAGCAGCCCATAGGTGCGGTTTCCGAACTCAAGAACAAGGTCTGGAAATTCGACGTCGTACAAACTTGGTAGATCATGAGACGACAAAGGTTTGTCTAAGATTTTTAGAGCACCATGAATAGCTTCACTCAAGCACTGGTTAAAGTCGGTTCTCTTTCGGTCGCATTTTTTGAAACTGGAAGCTTAATTATTTGTTCTCAAAAAGCGAAATCTGCTTTTTTCTACTTACGAAGTTTGAGGCAGCTGCCAAAAGCCACTACGGTCAATAAACAAAGCACGAAACTGTTCATCTTCCGTCTTGGAGTCAATTAAATTTTGAACTTTGGTGGTTTAAATATATATTAAGACATCAAAAAAGGAATGGATCAACAGTTTCAAACTTGCTTGAAGCAAGGTAATCCGGCGAGCATTAGGAATTTTTCAAAAAACTGGTGTTTACATAACTGCTAGTTTTAATTAGATGCTGGTGCGTAAAAATGAGAAAAGTTATTTTTAATCTTAATTAAGATAAGTCTGAGAAGAGGTCGCTTTCACACCCGGTGTGAAACCATGTTATATACCTAACAGTTTATGTTGACGTCATGTCGTAGTTGTATAAAACAATTTTATTATCACTATATTTGTTACTGTAATATAAGAAAATCATAGTGTAGTTGTTGAGTTACAGACGCAGAACGATTTTCTTGTAGATTTCGACCTCAAGAATTTACTTTTGGCCTCATGTCTTGGAAAACCCTATGATTTTCCAAATGACTTAGTGAAATTTTTATGTCAATTTTTGCAGTTTTTTCTAAAATTTTTCGAATTTTGTATTTCTCGCTTTTTCTGGATTTTTCGATTTTTTCACATTTTAGGTTTTTAATTCTTTTTGTTTCAGTTCTTCGATTTTCCTGGTTTTCAATTTTTCGAATTTTCGACTTTCGATTTTTCGATTTTTTGATTCTTCACAATATTTCACTCCTAATGTTTAAAATTTTACATTTTTCTATTTTAAATTTTACAATTTTCAGTTTCTCGATTTTCAAATTTTCGTTTTTTATTTTTATTTTTCTATTTTTCAATTTTCCGTAATTTAGCTATTACGATTTTTGAATTTTCTGATCCTACAAGTTTTCGATTTTTTAAATTTCAGCATTTCCAAATTTTTGATTTGCCGGTTTATGGAATTCTCAATTTTTCAATTAATCGATTTTTCGACTTTTCGACGTTTAGATTTCTCGATTTTCCAAATTTTAGGTTCTTCAATTTTCCGGTATTTTAATCTTTGGATTTTTTTAATTTTAGATTTTGCGATTTGTCAACGTCTCAGTTCTTCTACCTTACTGTTTTTCAATTATTCGAATTTTTAAATTTTAGATATTTATATTTTAGATTATTCAATTTTTCGATTTTTTGAAGTTTAAATTTTTCTATTGTTTAGTTCTTCAACACTTTAATTTTTAGATTTTTCGATTTCTCGAGTTTCAGTTTCAAATTCTGAATTATTCAGCTTTTGGATTTTAGAATTTTTTGATTTGCAGTTTCACAAGTTTTTAATTTTTAATTTTTCAATTTTTCATTTCTTCAATTCATCTAACTGCAATTTTTCACATCGGCTTTTATTTTCTTTATTTTCTGTAAATTTCCGCCAATCTGTAACTTTCATTTAAATAAAAATTAAAAAAATTAATAAATTTTCAGCTTTTGGATTTCTCAATTTTTCGATTTGCAATTTTTCAGTTTTTAATTGTTGATTTGTAATGCTTCTAGTTTTCATTTTATTATTGGATTTCAAAACTTTTTCATTTATTCGATTTTTTCCATCTTCCAATGTTACAGTTTTTCCACTTTACAATTTTGACGATTCCATAATTTTTTGGTTTCACAATTTCTGGGTATTCGAATTTTTCGATTTGCTACGGTTTTTATTTTTTCCAATTTTTTAATTCATTAAGTTTTTTCGATTTTTAGTTTTTCAGTGTTTCAGTCTTTCGTTTCTTCAGTTCTTCGATTTACAATTTTTTGATTTTCCACTTTTTCTGTTTTGCATTTTTTCAGTTTTTGAATTTTTCATTTCCTTCAATTGATTTGCAATATTTTTAATTTTTATTTTAAATATGTATCTAATAATTATTATTATTATTGAATTTTAATATTTTTTCATTTATTCGATTTTTCAATCTTTTTAAATTCTATTTTTTCCATTTCTCAATATTGAGTTTTTCAATTTTTCGATCTTTCCATATAACAGTTTTTCGATTTTATAATTTGTGGGTTTTCCAATTCGATTTTTCTTCTTTCCAATTTTTTGATTCATTAAGTTTCTTCGATTTTTAAGTTTCTCGATTTTCAGTTTTTCAATGGTCCAATCTTTAGTTTCTTCAATTTTCAAACCGAATGTTTTGAAAATCTTGCTCCGGAACCATAAACACGCTTTATTTTTGGAATTAGCATGTTGAGATTTTAAAACCCAGAATTTTTTGTGGATTTTTAGAAAACTCCTTCCAAAAATTACCTAGAGACATTTTTCTGCAGACTAAGACCTCTATCTAGAAATAAATTGGACCTTCATTTCTTCGAAAAGTGCTGATATTGGAAAGAATGTTTGCAATTTTTAAGATTAAATAAAACAATAAATGATTTTCAAGAAAAATATATCCAAAATTTTGCTCCAGCACAAATACCAAAGTTGTACGTTTTTTTTTAGGACTATACAATTTTCACTAGTTTTTGTAAATAAAACACGCTATATGTTTTTACATATTCTCATTAGCCTTTTCCTAGACTTTTTAATCACAGTATATTCCTCAAAGAACTGGACAACGACTTTTAATAATAAGTGACATATCGAGAAACGCGCACCTAATGACTCACCCTGTATATCCCAGAATTTGTTGTAGATTTTTAGACATTTTCGTGAAAATTTTAAACTTTAATTTTTTGTAGATTTCAACCTCCAGAATTTTCTTTCGGCCTCCTTTCTTCGAAATCTTTTACAGTTTTTATAGAATTGTCTAATAAAATATGGAAATTGTTGGAAATAAAAAATATAATTGTCAAGCCAAATAATTTTCAAAATTCTTGCTCCAGAAAGATCTACGTCTCAGAATTTTTTGTGGATTTTTAGAGGCAATTTTCAAAAACTCAACTTTTCAATACTTCCAATGTATGCAAATTGCGAGACTTCGAAAATTGCCTGAAGAATTTTTTTTTATAAATTTAGTTGTTTGAAGCCGAATTTAATGCCCTCTACTTGCATGTCTAGTTTGGAATTGATTACCCTAAAATAACTAGTACTTTTGTCGTACTCTTCCAGTTCAAAACTAAATGTAAACGTTGGATCAACTAAAAGACCGCATTTAGAACAGTCATAATACGAACGTATACCACTACGGTTAATAAACAAAGCACGAAACTGTTCATCTTCCGTCTTGAAATCCAATAGATTTTGATCCTTTAGTGCTTTAAATATATATTAAGACATTAAAAAAAGAAAAGTCAACGGTTTCAAACATGCTTGAAGCAAGGTAATCCGGCGAGCATTAGGGATTTAAAAAAAAAACTGATGTTTATATAACTGCTAATTTTAATTAGGTACCGCTTGACAGAAATGAGAAAATGTTATTTTAAGAGGTCACTTTCACGTCACGGGAACTTTACACCAAATCAAAAATTACCCGTCAAAAAGCTCAGCAACGGGTACTTTTTCCAAAAATCCATTAAGCATAGAACCAAAAGCAGGTGCATAGATCTTTTCTAGGTGCTTAAACATTGCAAATATTTCAGAACTCTTTTCCACCAACGCAGAATTAAATTCACGATTCAGACGTTCATTGGAGAACAACCGTTTATAATCAATAACAAAATCTCGTGCTTGTAAATCGATTCCAGTACCCGCCACCCTAAAGTGGGTACCACCTTTTTCGTACTCTTCTAAATCAAAAATTATGGTAAGTACGGGCTCAACTAAAACTTAACAGTTTAGAAAACAATTCCCACATTTTGTACAAAACACACCCAAAATTGCCTCAACCGCTGTTACGACGTTTAAAGGTAGAAGAACCATGGTACCTTGAACTTCCCATTCAGCAGTCCACTTGAGTTCAGAATAAGTAGTCTCTACTGTTAAAGTACTGACTACCGGACCGAAATTCATTCTGAATTCAAAATTTGTGTAAAAGTGTACAAATTTAGAGGTATGTAGTACCTTGCAGCTACATTTTCGGGATTTGACAAACCGAAAAGCCTGAGATTACCACATTTTTGTTTCAAACCGTAAGTACTATTTCCAATTTCGAAACCAAAGGCAGGTGGGAACAGAACATCGTGCAAACTTGGTAAACCATGCGATTTTAGCGGTTTTTCTAATGATGTAAGAGCACCGTGAATAGATTTGCTCAAACACTGGTTGAAATTAGTACTTCTTCTATCACATTTTTTAAAACTGGAAGCTTAATCATGTGTTGACAAAAAGTGAAATTCTGTTTTTGTCTAAAACTACTTACGAAGTTTGAGGCAGCTACCAAAAACGACTACGACTACTAAACAAAGCACTAAACTCTTCATTGTCCGGTTGGACTCTGCTTAATAAATTTAGAACTTCTGATGGTTTAAATATGTAAACACTTCAAAAAAAGAATGGGTCAACAATTTCAAACCTGCTTAATGCAAGGTTGTCTGGCATTTGTATTTGAAAGTTTTGAAAATTATGTTGTTATGTAAATGATCGATTTGAATATGCATTATTATATAATGTACGTGAAGACAAATAAAACAAATAAAAACATTGTTTATTTCTAGATTATTAATTGTCAAGTTTACATAAAAACTATCCATCGACGAGTTCAGCAGCGGGAACTTTTTTCAGAAAATCGTTAAAGATTGTACCGAATAGAGGAGCAAAAAGCACTTCATCAAAGCTTTTAAAAAGAATCCATATTTGCCTCCATTTCTCATCCATAGCATTATTAAACTCTTCATTTAGAACTTTGTTGGAAAACAACCCTTTGTAATCAAATTTAAGACCCTGAGTTTGTGCATCGATTTTGGAATCTATTACCCGAAAATAAGTAGTACCTTTTTCGTACTCTTCCAGTACAAACGTGAATGTGTATGTTGGATTAACTAAAAGGCGTTTTTTAAAACGATTATAAAGAGCGTGTGTGCAGAGTACCTACCCAAAGTGTATACAACAGGTGTTATGACGTTTACAGGTAGAAGGACAATAGTACCTTGAGCCTCAAATTCAGTTTCTACTGTAAGTTGAGAGTAAGTAGCTTCTATCGTTAAAGTGATAGTCAAAGGACCAAAATCTAGTCTTTGTAAGAAAATACTTAAATGAAACGTAAAATCAACGTGAAACTTAATACTTAGCATTTATATTCTCTGGCTTCGACAGACCAATATACCTAGTTTGGTAAAATTTTTGTAGCAGCCCATAGGTACTATTTCCCATTGTAAAGACGTCTGGAAATTCGACGCCATACAAACTTGGTAAACCATGCGATGGCAAAGGTTTGTCTAAGATTCTAAGAGCGCCATAAATAGCTTCACTCAAGCACTGGTTAAAATCGGTTGTCTTTCTATCACATTTTTTGAAACTGGAAGCTAATTATTTGTTTACAAAAACTGAAAATCTGTGTTCGACTAAACTACTAAACTTACGGAGTTTGAGGCAGCTGCCAAAAGCTACTACGGTTAATAAAAAAAGCACTAAACTGTTCATTTTCCGTGCTGGAACCCACTTACTAAATTTAGAATCTTTGACGGTTTAAATATATGTTAAGACATCAAAAAAATTATGGGTCAACAATTTCAAAACCTGTTGATGCAAGGTAATCTGGCTAGCATAACATTGGGGCTTACATAACTACTATTCTAATTAGAAAAAGATGCATGAAGGTGAGAAAAAAATCAGTTCTTTTATCAGATTTTTTAAAATAGAAGCTGCAGATCTTGACAAATTAGTCACTACAAAAAATATTAATCCAGTCATTCCTTTTCAAGTTTAGTCATAAGTGTTCAGTATTTGATTAAAAGTAATGGAACTAGCTTATTAGAACTACAGTTTGCAAGAAGTATAGTGGCGGAAATACCGCAGGTGAAACTTTTTGTCTTTCTATCTTATACACTTACCTTACTTTAATAAATCCAACTTAGAAATTACTTAAGCAGTTACGTACCTGAAAAAAATAAAAAATAATGATGAGAAATTTCAAAAACTCTTGAAAAATTAGATATGATTGAAATGGAACGATAGTTGACAATATAATATTTGCACATACCAGGGAATGATAAGTTAAAAATAATAGATAATCATTAGGCTTCGGATCTTAGGTTTTTTGCCTTCTTATATCTACTTCAGACATTGCGCGAAATTTATATATTTATCCGAATTTAAAAAAATCTATTTATTTAACGTCCATTTATTACTCCCTAAAGTGCCTAATTTACCGTTCGAGACCTAAAGTGAATCTCTGGAAAAGCATTTTATTTTAGAAGTTTATTGTTAGTGCTACTGAGTGTCTTTGGGTGTTAGTGAGTGTGCTGAACCCGGTTTTGATTTTTGTGCATACAGTAAAGAATCCTCAAAATACCTAAGGTAAAATCATCCATGAAAGATAAAATCAAATTTTGGTTAAAGAATAATTTGGGCACTAATTTTCAAGTAAAGTAAACATTTAAAATACTGAAGCTTGAATTATGTTCACAATTTTGTTTCCTAGTTTAAGTGCGAAAAAAAATCACACTTTCAACGGCACTGCAGTGGCGATGCACATAAAAAGAACGAGAATAAATCCAGTAAACAGACTTTATTAAACATTAGTTCCGACAATGATTTTACGCAATTTTGCACCGATTTATGTAGGGCATTTACCGCCGCAAATATTCCATGGAATAAAGTTAGTTGTCCTGAGTTTAAAAATTTTATGTATAAGTATACAAGAAGGCATTTACCCTCAGAAAGCACTCTGAGAAAAAATTATTTACCAAAAGATTACGATATGGTGAGCACTAGAATTTTTATTTAAAAAATTTTTAACATAAATTTTATAATTTACAGCTAATTAAACAAATTAGAAATTCTGTTGGCAATAATAATATATGGATTAACGTCGATGAGACGACGGATAGATTAGGAAGATACATAGGCCATTTAGTAATTGGACAGTTATCTTCTGAAGAAGCTGGGCGTCCATTTCTACTACCTTTGAAGCAGCTTGTTAAAACTAATAGCAAAACAATCTAGAGATTTATAAACGAATCCTTGGGTGTGCTATTGATAATTTTAAGCATTGAAATTATTATAATTTATTTAATTGTTAATTTGTAGCTTTATTGTGGCCAAAAGAAACTGAACACAAAAAAGTTAAATTGTTTGTATCAGATGGTGCTTCATACATGATCAAAACTGGTACTAATTTGAAGGTGTTTTATGAAAATATAACACACTTAACATGTATGGCACATGGGTTACATTTAGTGTTTGAAACAATTAGACTGAATTATCCAGATGTCAATGGGATAATTAGCAATGTTAAGAAAATCTTTTTAAAAGCACCAATAAGATTAGAGTTTTATGAAAACAGTTTACCAAATACACCTCTCACCTTTTATGCAGAACACTTTGATGTTTTAAAACAACTCAGTAAATATATAATGATTTTTTTAATAGCATTCTTATATTGAATATTTTTAGGTTGTAATGTCGTTTGAAGTCACAGATGCACAAAGCATTTAAAAAGCTCAAGAATTCCTGAATAAAGCAAACGTTAAAAATGAACTCTAGTACATTAAAACTCACTTTAAAATTAATGCTGATGCAATAGAACAATTAGAAACTATAGGTTTAAAATTAAACCAAAGTATTGAAATTGTGGAAAAAGTGTATACATCTTTAAAAAACACACCAGGAAAGGTGGGGGAAATGGCGTTCAAAAAATTATGTTTTCTATTAAGAAAAAATCCAGGATACGATTTTATATGTTCAGTAAATAGCGTAATTTGCGGTAATGGAAATGCTACCAACAATACATACATAAATGAAGACGTAGATTGTTCAATATTTAATTTTGCAGCCATCACTTCTTGTGATGTGGAACGCACGTTTTCAAAACTTAAAATTGTTTTAAGAGATCAAAAGTGTAAATTTACAATCGAAAATTTAGAGAAATATAATTGGCTTTTGTAGCTCATTTTAAATACCCGAATTAATATTTTATTTTTTGTTATGTGCGACTTGCTTTAATTTGATCGCCATTTTTTTGCGATAACTTAGAATTAGTTGACGTAACACTATAGATCTTTTATTTATTTAATCATTTTTTTGTTTGTTACACAAAATATTTGTTTCTATAATGTTTTGTTTAATGTTTTTTTTTAAATATATATTTTTTTGATGTATGCTTTTTCGTTGAGCAAATATTTTTTACTCCAAGTTTTTAACCTAAACTTTCTCCTTTTATTCATATTTTAACGACCTAAAATCCGAAGCCTAATAATCATTAAGTAAGAAATCAGGAATATTATCTTAACTAGAAGTTAAATTAGGCTTAATTTTTTTCAAAGCCGCAGGAGTGTCTGATTCGTTAACAAAGGCTAGATGTATGATAGCATTCACGGACTCATCAACAAACTCATTCGAATTGACATTGGCAGAACGATTGAACCCTGAACTAAAGTGGTCAACAAAAGCATGAAGAATATCTTTTGGATTATCAACTATTCGATTAAGGTAATTCATCTGCAAATGTATTCCAGAATGTTTCTTTAAGTTGCTAATATGACCCCAGAATTTCCTAGGATTCTCTTTAATATTGGTTTAATAAAGAGCGAATAGTCTTAAAATTACGAATGTTATACTCAGATATAAGAGGTAATTGGCCAAGTGAGAGTTGGACTGCAATATTTTATAAAAAAAAGACAGGAATTCCAACTGGCCCGGGATTTAAGTTATTTTTCAGATTGGATAATTTGTGTGAAGAATATCTGTGGAAATGAGCACATCAAACCCTTTAGACACCAAGTCAAGTTGGATAGTTGAAATTTGCAACTAGGATGCAAAAAGAACTCCTCCACCTCTAGTTTCATTAGTTTTATTAAAATTTCTGTCTGATCTGAGGGTTGTATAGTTATTAGGGCAAAATTCAGAATTAAGCACAGAACTAAAAGAATTTGTCTTATTAATTTTGTTCACGCAGTCAAAACTGTAAAGATAGATGCTTAGATCTCATATATTGTAGCCCCGAAGTTGAACATAGAAATGTTTCCCATGCATATCTTGTATCAGAAGATGCTTATCCTCCCGCATTATCATTTAATCTGAGATTTAAGTCTCCTAGAAAAATGCTTAGATCTAGTATAAATAAAGATTATCGTGACTATTTACAATCGACTGAAATATGAAATAGTTAAAGATCCAAAAAAACTATGGCCCTTTATAAACGCAAACAAGTTTTGCATTTACTTTTTTTTTATTTTTAGGTAGAACAATTATTATTATTTGCAAGGTATTATAATTGGGTAGGAATGCTAGAGCTTTATAAATAAGAAGTATAGAGTAGTAATTATTATTAAGATATTTATTTAAGTTTGTACATTCTTAACAACTGGTTTTAACAATTATCCAGTAATTAATAATAATAATAATATATTTCATAAAAACATATACAACATGTCTACATTTTTGCACGTCATAGCAAAGTAATCAATAACATTACATAAATAATTAGGTACAAAACAAATTAAAAATTAAAAATTAAAAACAGAGACATATCAATTAAAATATTCGTTAACAGCATAACAATTTTTTTTTAATAAATATCGTTTAATAGTTTTCTTGAATGTAAAAAAATTATCTATTTTTTTTTATATCGTTCGGCAGGTTATTATAAAGTTTACACGAATTAAAGAATAAACTTCTTTGGTATTTTGACGTAACATGTTTCTCAGGTAGAAGACATTCCCTGTTTCTGGTAAAATATGTATGAGTAGCACCACAGGTTTGAAATTTTCCTCTATATTTAAAGGCAAAACATAATACCTTGCATATGTAAATATTAGCAACAGTAAGAATATTGTAAATCTTAAAGAATGGTCTGCAAGAATCCAATCTTTTCAGACCTGCGATGGTACGGATCGCCCATTTTTGTATTTTAAACACCCGATTAATTTCAAATTGAGATGATTTGTATCAATTCTCAATGCCATAGGCAAGAATCGAGTGGAAGTGACCAAAATATAGAGTTATCTACTACAGTGATGCGAAGCACTTTTAAGCATTTAACAAACCTTCGTTAGTTTACCACAAATATAGTCAATATGTGACGTCCACGACAATGTGTTGTCAACTACAACTCCCAGTAGTTTACTAGAAATAGACAATGAGATATTAAGAGAGTTTTCAAAACTACTATACCTTTTCCGAAATAGCACGTGCGTTGTTTTGTTATTATTAATCACAAGCCTATTTTTGTTACATCATAAAGTTATGCTTTGCAATAGTCGGGTTGAAATAGAAGCAACTTCTTGTAGACTGTTACCAGTTAACAAAAAATTTGAATCATCAGCACAATAGATTTGAAAACATTAGGAAACTTTTGTAAATACAAATGAAGGTCATTAGCATAGATAATAAACAAAGTAGGCCCGAGGATCGACCCTTGAGGCACTCCGCAATCTACACTTCTTAACGAGGAGAAGGTGGCATTATGTAACTGCACTTTTTGCGAACGATTGGATAAGTAAGAGGTAAACCAATCTAGAGCAACCCCACGAATTCCATATCTATGAAGTTTTTCAATTAGTATTTGATGGTTCACACAATCGAAGGCTTTAGTGAAATCCACATACAAACCCATGGTTGTTAAATTTCTATCAAGTGATAACTGAATGTTGTGAATGAATTTGCTGAGTGCAGTGTCAGTACTAAAGCTTTTTCTGAATCCATGCTGGCAATTGTGCAAGAGATTATATTTTTCTAAAAAGCGTGTGAGTCTATCATTTACAATGATTTCAAGAATTTTGCCAATGCATGGCAGGAGACTGTTAGGGCGATAGTTTTCCACTACATTACGATCACCCTTCTTAAAAAGAGGAATAATTAGAACATTCTTTAACGAATCAGGATAGATGCCCTTTAAGAAGGACAAGGTAAAAATATAAGTTAATGGGGTAGTTATAAATTCCAACACCGCCTTCAATAAATTATTGCAGATGCCATCTTCACCGGCTGACATTGAAGATTTCAATTTATTTATTGCACTACCAACATCACTATTCGTTACTGGTGCAAAAAAAAAACTATGTAAATTTGGAGGAATGCTACTTCTGACAAAGTCAATATCTATGGTATTCGGTAAATTGGCAGTACAGTTGCGCGCCACACTAGCAAAGAAATTATTAAGTTTTTCGGCACTTTCCTTAACAGAACAAGTCACACCATTTTCAAAAATTTCAATATTAGAGTCCTTAAAACTTTTATTGGTTATTTTATTTATAATTCTCCAAGTGGCCTTGCTTTTATTGTTTCCAGGCATAATCAGATTATCATTATAGGCCTTCCTCCTTGCTACTAACATATCTTGATATTGACTGTTAAGCAATGAAAAAATCGGTTTAAAGGTAGGATACTTCATGGATAGATTTGCATATAGTGCCACACGATTTTTCATTCTAATTATTTCATCGGTCACCCACAGATCTTGTTTATTTTTAATTGAATTAGATTTGATGGTTTTTAAAGGAAAAGCAGTTAACAATGCATTGCTTAAAATATTGCATAACCGATTGAAACTTACATTCACATCCTCTTCCTTTAAGACAGTATCCCACTTTTGAGTTCATAAAAGTTTACGGAAATAAGTAATATTGTCGTTAGAGAAAATCCGCCTTTGAGTGAGGTCCACTTTGGCTTTTCATATATTTTCATCAATGTGAAGTAGCAACATCTGACCAGAATGGTCAGATACGAAGTCGTTAAATACTGAAAAGTGACAATTATGGACATCCTGAATACTCACACAGATGTTATCCAGACATGAACTACTGGAGGGGGTCACTCTTGTCTGTGCAGTAGACAGGGGCGTCATATTGTACACAGTTAAGATATCATGTAATTTTTTTGTTTCCTTGTTATTGCTATCATTGAAATGAATATTAAAATCACCAGTGATTACTATACGTCTGTCTTTAAATTTAGAGAGGTGTGACAGTATCCAACTTATTCTATCAAAAAAGATGTTTAAATTCTGAAGGTTTGTTCCAGGAGGTCTGTAAATACCCACAATTATTAAATGATAATTTGGAATTTCTACGGCACAACACTCTATCACATTGATAACCGAAATATTTTTCACAAACATAAGTTCCTTATATTTAACAATTTTTTCACGAACAAATATAGCTACTCCTCCATGATCTACTGATTTATCCCGACAGAAATAACTACCTAACAAAAAATTACCCAATTTGAAATTTAAGATTCTTTGCTCGTCCATCCAATGTTCTGTTATGACTAATACATCGGTACTTTGATGATGATACTCTAGGCGTACAGCTTTGTTCCCCAGACTTTGAATATTTTGGTTAGCAATTTTTAAGGTAATGCTTCGAAACATGTTGTCATCGTGAGAGTTTTCAAGGCTGGTTTTAGGCAGATCCGTCTTGTAGTGCTGGCCTGATGTTATTTCTGTTGAATTTTTGGACTTCTGGGATGAAAAAACTTTGAGATTAGGACTCCATTTGGCCAGTAATCCGGATTGTAGATCTTTTCAAGATTATCAAAATTAACAGTAACCTTGAATCTTGAGTGAGACGCTTCATAGTTCTCCAGAGGTTCACAGACAACTTCTGGGAAGTCTTCCACCAAGTATCCTTTCAGATCGGCAGCGGTTGTACTCTTGACAAGTCTTCTGATGTATAGATAGGCTTTGGCTGGCGATGCCCTTATCGTCACAGAATCGCTTCTTTTACCAAAGATCGGTTGTTTATTAACAATATTGGTCTTCGCTAATGTCGTTGAAGCTTCTCTCTTTCTGTTATTATTAACCATACTTGTCTGTAATGAGTCACACTGGTTTTTTCTATTTTCGGGCTTACCGCTTTCCTCGTGAAACGTCTTAGGTGAAGTCGGATTTGGACTTTGTTTATTTACATCAGCTGTTGGTTGTTTGCTGTTTTTTCTTGGCTTCGTGTTTTGGGTTATCTCTAATGACGCTTCACCTTCAACATTGGAGATATCGGATTTTTTACCCAAACTTTTCTCACCAGCTTTTTCATGCAATAGTTCGACATGCTTTTCTAATAGATGGATTTTACTCTTTAATTCATGAATCAACTCGTCTTTTTGCTTCAAGATATATTGGAACACTTTAGCATCCAAAATATTTTCGGCCGCGTCCCAAAAAGTCTCTGTTTCTATCTCACCAGTTGTAGTCTTCAACTGAGGCGTCGGTTTAATACATAGGGGTCTTCCGCATACCCAATTTTTCTTCATGTGAAAACCTCGAAGATCAACATTTACACAGCGAGAGTGGAAGTTCTTAAGATGCGTTGGTAAAATAAATCACTCACAGCCTTTTTCATTCTAACACGTTTTTAGTGACCTTTTGGACCCAGACAACAAATATCTAAAATTGTGTCTTCATCAAACTTTTCAAAGTGATTGATTTTTTGAATGCCGGTCATTTCCGGATCACTGTTTACATTAATACGAACTAATTAAACAAAAAATACAATAGGACAAATAAAGAATTTGTTTATTTCTAAAGAACAAATCGTACAGCATTAACATAAAAGCTATCCATCGAAGAGATCAGCAACGGGAACTCTTTTCAGAAAACCGTTAACGATGGTACCAAACAAGGGAGCAAAAACATCTTCATCGATGCTTTTAGAAAGGGCAAATATTTCCCGCCATTTTACATTCATGGCCGAATTAAATTCGTCATTCAGAATTTTGTTGGAAAACAACTGCTTGTAGTCTAATTTAAGGCCATGTGCTTGCATATCGAGTTTAGAATCGATCACCCTAAAATAAGTAGTACCTTTCTCGTACTCTTCCAGTTCAAACGTAAATGTGTATGTTGGATTAACTAAAAGACGTTTTTTACAATGGTTACAAAGAGCGTGCGTACAAAGTACCTACCCAAAGTGTATTCGAAAGGTGTCACGACATTTACCGGTAGAAGAACAATAGTACCTTGAGCCTCGAATCCAGTTTCTACCGTAAGTTGAGAATAAGTAGCTTCTATCGTTAAAGTACTAGTCAAGGGACCAAATTCTAGTCTTTGTAAGAAAGTAAATAAAACGTAAAATCCAGGTTAAAATTTATACTTAGCGTTTATATTCTCTGGTTTCGACAAGCCGATACACCTAGGGCGATAATACGTTTGTAGTAGCCCGTAGGTCCGGTTTCCTATTGTAGCGACCTCGTCCGGAAATTCGATGTCATACAAACTTGGTAAACCATGAGAAGGCAAAGGTTTGTCTAAGATTTTAAGAGCACCATAAATAGCGTCACTCAAGCACTGGTTAAAATCGGTTCTCTTTCTGTCACATTTTTTGAAACTAGAAGCTTAATTACTTGTTTACAAAAGCCGAAAATCTGTGTTCTCCGAAACTACTTACGAAGTTTGAGGCAGCTGCCAAAAGCCACTACGGTCAACAAACAAAGCACTAAACTCCTCATGTTCTGTCTTAGGAGCTACTTAATAAATTTGGAAATTTTTCCGGTTTAAATATAAGTGAAGAAAGCCAAAAAAATCATGGGTCAATAATTTTAAAACCTGTTGATGCAAGGTAATCTGGCGAGATTAGGGATTTGCCAAACAACTGTTGTTTACATAACTGCTAATTTTAATTAGGTCGAAAAATGTCATTTTGAAGTTGGAAGACAAATAAAACGAATGAAAATATATTTTTTTTTATTTCAAGAGTAGAACAACTATCCATCGAAAAACTCAGAAACGGGAATTTTTTTCAAAAAATCATTAACGATCGTACCAAACAAGGGAGCATACTTAACTTCAGTACTTTTAAAAAGAGCAAATATTTGTCGAGATTTGGCATCCATAGCAGAATTAAATTCCTCATTCAGAATTTTGTTGGAAAAGAACTGTTTGTAGTCAAATTTAACACTCTGTGTCTGCATGTCGAAGTTGGAGTCAACCACCTTAAAGTAAGTGGTACCTTTTTCGTACTCTTCCAGTTCAAAACTAAACGTGAATGTTGGATCAACTAAAATACGTTTCCTAAAACGGTTATAATGTGCGTGTGCACAAAATACATACCGAAGGTGAATTCGGAGGATGTTATGACATTTACGGGTAAAAGAACAATGGTACCTTGAGCTTCACAATCAACTTCTATAGTAATCTGAGAGTAAGTCGCTTCTATTGTTAAAGTACCGAAATCTAGTCTATGTAAGAAAATAAATAAAGCGTAAAAGCTACATTTAAATTAATACTTAGCGTTTATCTTGTCTGGTTTCGAAAGACCTATAAACCTAAATCGATCGTATTTGTGTAGGAGCCCGTAGGTACTGTTTCCCAATACAATTTCAAGGTCTGGGAATTCGACGTCGTACAAACTTGGTAAACCATGCGATGGCAAAGGTTTGTTTAAGATTCTAAAGGCACCATAAATAGATTCACTTAGACACTGGTTAAAATCGGTTCTCTTCCTGTCACATTTTTTGAAACTGGAAGCTTAATTATGTGTTCACAAAAAATAAAAATTTGTTTTTCTCTAAAATTACTTACGAAGTTTGAGGCAGCTGCCAAAAGCCACTACGGTTAACAAACAAAGCACGAAACGGTTCATTTTACGTCTTGGAATCTACTTGCTAAATTTAGAATTTTTGGCGGTTTAAATATATGTTAAGACATGAAAAAAATAATGGGTCAACAATTTCAAAACCTGCTGGATGCAAGGTAATCCGGCCAGGATTAAGGTTTTGTTAAAAAATAAATGTAATTATTTTAACAAAGTATTAATAGAATTTATTTCTGGATTACAAATCACGAGTGCTTAACTAACTTTAAATAAAGTCATTTATCCATCGAAGAGCTCAGCAACGGGAACTTTTTTCAGAAAATCATTAAAAATGGTACCAAATAAGGGAGCTAATATCCATTCAAAGCTTTTATAGATAGCAAATATTTGGCGCCATTTCGCGTTCATAGCAGAATTGAATTCTTCATTCAGAATTTTGTTGGAAAAGAAGTGTTTGTAGTCGAACGTAACTCCCTGTACTTGAATATCCACTTTGGAATCGATCACCCTAAAATAAGTAGTACCCTTCTCGTACTCTTCCAGTTCAAAACTAAATGTGAACGTTGGATCAACTAAAATGCGTTGTTTAAAACAGTTATAATGTGCACGTGTACAAAGCACCTACCATAATTAAATTCAACGGGTGTTATGACGTTCACGGGTAGAAGAACAATGGTACCTTTAGCCTCACATTCAAGTTCTAGCGTAAGTTGAGAATAAGTTGCTTCTATTGACAAAGTACTTGTCAAAGGACCAGAATCTAATCTATATAAGAAAATAAATAAAACGTAAAATCTACGTTAAAAATAGTACTTAGCATTTATATTCACTGGTTTCGATAGACCGATTAATTTAAATTGATCATATTCCTGCAACAGCCCGTAGGTACGGTTTCCGATAGTAACCACAAGGTCTGGAAATTCGACGTCATACAAACTTGGTAAACCATGAGACGGCAAAGGTCTGTCTAAGATTGTAAGAGCACCATGAATGGCTTCACTTAAGCACTGGTTAAAATCGGTCCTCTTTCTGTCACATTTTTTAAAACTGGAAGCTTAATAGATATTTGTTTATACAAAGTGTTTTTTTTTTTCTCCGAAACTACTTACGAAGTTTGAGACAGCCGCCAAAAGCCACTCCGGTTAATAAACAAAGCACTAAACTGTTCATGTTCGTTCTTGGAAACTATTTAATAAATTTAGAATCTTTGGCGATTTAAATACATATCGAGATTTAAAAAAACATTAATGGGTCAACAATTTCAAACCAGCTTGAAGCAAGGTAACCCAACGGGAGTTTGTGTTTGCATAACTACCGATTATGGTAATTAGATATCGGTGATTAGAAATGCGAAAATATTAGTTTGAGGTTGGTATACGATTATTAATAATTACAACGATTGTTGAATTTAACGCAGAACCTGATCTTGTTCATAAGGGAAAATATATATAGGTATATATAGAAATAAAAATTGGTCAAAGCTTCATGTGTCTGAAGAAAATATGGTGGATGCGCCGGGACAAGGTGATGAAATAATACATAGATAATAGAGAAAACATTTGTGTTAGTACCTACGTCTGTAAAATCCTTTCTTATGTATTTTTAAAACATATTTTAAGTTAGACTTTCATCAAGAAGATTTCGTCTAAGACTTAAAGTTAAAAGAAAACGTTTTACCTAAATTTATTCACGTTCAAGAAAAGACAAAGCACCATTTAAAATTGTTAATCCGGAACAAACAACTAATGAACAAAATATCGAAATTGAAAATCTAATAGCCACTAAATTACGTTGGTAAATAATAAAGTTATGATAAATCCGGACGAGTTTGATAATAAATAGGCTGGATAACATTAAATACCTTGACGACTTTGCGGAATTTCATAAATTTCGAATTAAAATTAGCACCAAAATTAAGTAATAATAATAATAAAAATAATAATTTAAATACATGCCAAGACATAAAAAATAACGTTTCTCAAATGTTCCATGGAATTTTGGAAGACCACCCTCCAAATAATCTTAAATGAACAAACAATTCAGTCAGATCCAATAATGATCCGAAGAGGAATTTTTCAAGGCGATTCTCTTAGACCGTTATGGTTCTGCTTAGCAATAAATCCCCTCTTCGATATCCTGAACAGCTGCAATTATGGGTTCAACATAAGAATTAACAAATAAAGAGAAAACAGAATAAGTCACTTACTGTATATGGATGACATAAAAATATATGCAAGTACACAAAATCAGTTAACAAACTTATTAAATCTGACTCAACAGTTTTCCGGTGATATTGGTATGTGTTTTGGTATTGAGAAATGTAAGACCCAAGCAATCAGAAAAGGCGTTCAACACCAAGTACCACATATAACCCAGAATAACGAAATAATCGAAGCCCAAGAACGAAATGATACATACAAATATCTGGGTTTCTGTCAATCCTCCCACATCAATAATACCAAAACGAAAACACAGTTGAAAGATCAATACCTAGCGAGAATAAAATTAATATTGAAGACACAGTTAAATGGAAAAAATTTAATGAAAGCAGTAAATACATTCTGCGTTCCACTGCTAACGTACTCTTTTGGAGTCATTAAAAGGTCAAAACTGATCTTGAAAATTTAAACATCGCAACAAGGAAAATTTTCACACAGTATAGAAGACATCATCCAAAATCGTCCATTGAAAAATTCTCATTACCAAGACAGAATGGAGGAAGGGGTTTCCAAAACCTAGAAAACTTATATCAGAGACAAACTGACTACAAAGCTAGACACGACAACGCAGCCAAAATCATTCACAAAGAATTAGCAACACTTATGAACTTAATTGAAGATACGACACCCTATTACACTTACATTCCATCTCCGTTCCTTGAAAATAACAAATACAAATTATACTGGGATCGCACAATACTTACAGACTCAAACATTACAGCTAACAGACCAGACATCATACTTATCAAAAAACACACGAACGAAGCCATTCTCATTGACATTGCTATTCCTAACACAAACAACATTATTCAAATTTGTTTCATCCAAGATGGCGACCGTGACGGGGCAGCTCAAAAGTAACTCGAACGCTACAAAAATGTGCAAAAAGTGTGGCAATATTCCAACGCAAGGCCCAAAATGTGTACAGTGCAATGCAGTTTTTCATCCAGGGTGCATTAAATATCTTAAAGATGTTGTGGAAATTGCTCCTTGTGAGGTTATGTGCTGTGGTTCCAAGGTGACTCCGACGACATTGCCAGAGAAGAAAATGACCAATAGCGTCGCCCAAGAAGAAGTTGCTGCTTCAATTAATGACCCCGACAACGAATTGGATGATGAATCCTTTAGTTCTGCAATTGAGAATTCTGATACCGCAAAGGTGGAAAATAAGTATCTAAAAAACTGCTGAAGGAGAAAGACTTGCACATAAAAAGTTTATGTGCCAACTTGGACATACTCCACAAGCAAATAACCTTGCTAAATAACATCATAATTAAGCAGGAGGAAGGAATTTTCAATAATCATAATCCAGAAATTAATGAAATTGTCAAAAAAAGTAAGCTGCTCCCGCTCAAAAACACCAACGATAAACAACAGAAAAAAACGCAAGACTCGCCATCTAATCAAGCCAAAACACCAAATCAAGGAGATAAAGATAAGAAAGTAAAGAAGACACTTCGTGGTTATAGCGAACTCCAGGAGTCAGTTCAGGACGATAACGAAAATCTGGACAATAATAAGACACTGCAGAATGAAGACGATAACTGGAATAAAGTCAAAAGCAAAAAAAGACATCGCAGAGAAACCAACAAACCGATAACTGGATGCTCGGTGGATAATAGTACCCTCAAAGCAGTCCCACGAAGAAGCTTCATCCACGTGTTTCGACAAATCCTTCAACGACTACAAAGGATATCGAAGATCACCTCTGCATGTCAAATATATGCACTTTCGGAGTTGAAAAGCTGCAGTCAAGATATCCGGACTTATATTCAAGCTTCAAAGTGACCATTGATCATAAAGACCAAGACGTAGCTATGAAACCTGAAACCTGGCCTCCTGGCAGCTGTGTCAATCGTTTTTTTCATCGGATACTAAAGAAGACCGCGTTGCCTTAGAGGTAGAAGGCTATTTGAACATTCTGTCAATCAACATCCAATCACTGAGGGCTAAACTAGCGCAATTAGAGGCAGCAGTAGCAGACGATGACTTCTCCCTCCTTACCCTTTGTGAACATTGGTTGATGGCAGTAGTAGCTGACCAAATACGTGTCAATAATTTTGTAACTGACTCTTATTTTTCAAGAAACTCAACGAAACATGGGGGCACAATGATTATGAGGAACGCTGAGGTTTCTTGCACTCGTCTCCAAAATCTCGAACAACTCTCAATTGAGAAACATGGTGAGATATCTGGAATTTATATGAATAACCTAGAAATTTATGTGATAAATATCTATAGATCACTACTTTAGAAAAAGTTTTTGGTAAAATTAACACGTTAAAGAACAACATAATCTTGACTGTTGACTTTAATGTAAAATTTGACAAAGACGACCTCTTAAAAGACTGCTTATTAGATTTTATGAGAACTTATGGGCTTTTTCACTTAGTCGAATTTCCAACTAGAAATAACAACTGTCTGGATAACGTTTTTACAAATTTAGGTCACGCACTTTTTCAAATTAGTCCATGGAATTTACACCTATCAGATCATAGAGGCATCAAAATTAAAGTGTTTATTTCGTCTACTAAAAACAAACAAAAAACACAGCTTATTAAACATAGGCCAATTACTGCTCTTGGTAAATTCAAATTGTACGAGTCGGTGTCCAATATCAACTGGGACTTCATTAAGCTATGCAGTAATAATTCAGTTGACGACTTGTTTACAAAATTTGTAAATCTAATAGGAGGTCATGTAGGGCAAGCCTTCCCTCTAAAAGTAGTCAGGCGTCAACCTAACAATAACAAAACTGTAAAGTGGTTTGATAGTGAATTAATTCAAATGCGGCAAACATTACAACATTTATGTGAAATAAATAATCTAACTGGGAGTGAACAAACCCAGTCAGCAAAAAACTCGTTTAGGAAAGTATATCGTGACAAAATAAATGAAAAGAAAATGCTTTGTAATGAAAAATTCATCTCTACTGCAAGTAATAAAGTCAAGGCTATGTGGAAAATTATCAACGAAACTCGCAATAAAAGTGTTAATAGTCAAAAATTAAGCTGTGATATGACCTGTGACGATTTTAATAACTATTTTATAAATGAAATTTCAAAATTGGGAACGCAAAGCAATAATGACTGTGATATTGAACTCTGTGATATAGCAAGTAAGTCTACTCACTCCTTGATTAATAGCCCTAGTTTCAGTTCTAAAGAAGTGTCACACATAAAAGTGAGAGAAGCTATAGATAACCTGAAAAATAGTAATTCTTCTGATATCTTTAATCTTAATGTGAAAATTGTCAAAAGTATAAAGGACTTGCTGATACCTCCACTTGCAAAACTTATTAACTTTTGCATAAAATATTGCGTCTTTCCCAAATGTCTTGAAACAGCGGTCACTGTACCAGTATACAAAAAGGGTGATCCTAATAATCCATCTAACTATCGACCTATCTCATTACTTCCCATATTTGGCAAAATATTAGAGAAAATTCTATTTGAACAACTTTGTACTTATCTTGAATCACATGCTTTACTTTCTGACTCACAATATGGTTTTAGGAGAAACCGTTCCACTGGTAATGCTGTTCAGGAGTTAATTAATTTTATATCTCAGTGCTTTGAAGATCGTAAAATTGCAGTTGCGTCTTTTCTGGACCTGTCCAAAGCCTTCGACTGCGTCTCGCATAAACTTCTCCTCAAAAAACTGACAGTCTATAACTTGGTACCGTCTAGCATTCAACCTATTAGATCATATCTGGAAGATAGACACCAGGTTGTCAAATATAAGGAACAATTATCCGATTGTCTTCCTGTCAGAAAAGGTGTGCCACAAGGGTCCATCCTGGGGCCCCTCTTATTCATTATTTTTATTAACGACCTATCTTCTAGTAAAGACTCAAAAATTATCTTGTATGCAGACGATACAACCCTAATAAACCAAGCAACATCGACGGAGACTATCTGCGTCAAAAGAGAGGAGACGCAATCGAGGGCTGAGGATTGGTTCAGACAAAACCACCTCAGCTTGAACGCAAATAAAACTACCACTATGTTATTTTCTTTAAAAAATAGCGATGTTCCATCCAATTTCACCACTTCAGCACAATTCCTTGGGATACATTTGGATGCAAAACTAACCTCGAAAGTTCACGGCGACGAGGTGGCCAATAGAATTAGCAAAAACTTATTTGTGTTAAGGAGTCTTAAAAATAAAGTATCATATCAAGTGCTCAGAACAGCATATTTTGCCT